CCTGGCAGAGATCAGGAGGGGAGGGCACGCTGCCTCCGGGCTCTGGGGCTCCTGAGGTAACAGGAGAGGGGGTGTAGCTCAGTCTGCCGAGAGACAGATAGACACACGGCCCTGAACAACTCCGACCGAGCCCCACAGAGTGCGGAAGAGGACTGGCTACATAGCAGGTTATTTTAGGACTATAAGGTTGTTTTAATGTTACAAAAATCAAACAACGCAACTCACTAAATTAACAGGTTTGAGAAGAAAAGCCACGAGTCTGATGGCCCAACACCCATTCACCATCCAGGCTCCCTCCTGCCTAGGAGGAGAAGGGAACCTAACCTGACAGTGAGGACTGCCAAAACCCCGCAGCAACACAGCACCCCCGGCACCCCACAGGCGGAAGGCCGCTCGCCGCAGCCCTGCTTGCACTGGCCACAGCCCACGCTCCCCACCAGTGCAATCAGCACTTGGGCACCAGCCCCGGCTGCGACCTGGCTGGCCACCTCCATGCCCGCCCCAATTCTCACTGTCAAGGCCCCCCCTCCCTGCCCAACCTCCTGCCCTTCCACCAGCTTCTCCCCAGTGCCTGGCTCCACCAATTCATGGGCCTCTGATGCCCCAGGCACCAGCCTTGATCACTTCTCACGGCCCGTCCTTCTCCACCGTCCACTGCAACCAGCATCGTCTCTGCACGTCCTGTATTCTCTGCCCCACTTACACTGCTCTGGCCTGGCAGAACTGTGGCTTGGGGGGCCTCCGTGTGCTTCCTACCTGTGCTAGCACACGCTCGTGGCTGGACAGCAGCACACAGCCTTTGACTCTCATTGCTAACCCAGGTGGGCCCTCGGTGTGTGGCCCCTCACGTCCACACTGCCTCCCTCTCTGCCTGCCCATGTGGCTGTAGGTTCCCGGGCTCCAGGCAGAGGCCACCAAGATGGGCGCACGCTGGAGCAGGGCTGTGGGGTGGATGCCGCTGCGCAAATCCCATGTGTGCCCATGTGTGTGGGTGCCCCTCTGAGTAAGCCCTCCCGACTTTCAGGGACCAGGCAGGGCAGCCGGGAATGAGGCTGAGAAGCTGACCAGCACGGTCCCTCATCCTTTTCCCTCCTGTGAACTTTGCCCCTGAGCCAGTGGTAGGGAGGGGACCTCGGGCTCAGGCAACAGACTCCCTGGAACCTCCTCCTTCAGGGTCACCTCCTCAGGATTCCACGTTTATGTGAATTTGTTAACATTGGAGACGTTTCCCAGGGAGAAAAGGGCTGCTTTCAAGTCTGCTCTCCACTGATGACTACCAAGAGCCCAAGCAAGCGGAAGAGGAATTTCAGCAGAGAGCCCTAAACTGTGGTCCCCACAGCGATGGAAGTCGGGAGCAGCGTGGGAACCCCTTCCACACTAGCATTGCCACCTGGGAGGGGCTGAGATGGCCAGGACTGCCCACAGGGACAGGAGTGCCCGGCCTCACCTGCCACTCTTGCAGCCCCTCCCAGAGACTTGGCCGGCACCGAGGCAAAGGCATATGGCCCGGCTCCCCCGGCAGGAAATGAGAAGTGGCAACAGAAGCTTCGGTCATACAGCGGGTTGGGTGTGCCCACAATTCACTGGCCTCAGGGCCCTGTGCTCTCCCTCCTACCTGCCCCATGCATCCTGCGGCTGGCACTTTAGAGGAAAGCTCCTGGCAGGGCCAGTCATGCAGCGGGGACAAGAGGATGCCTGGCCGACCAGCTGTGGGCGCAGTGCAGGGAGAGTGCGGTTGGTCCGACTCAGCCCAGGCTGGCTGGGGCGGTGAGGGCCTCATTATTACTTAAAGAACTAAAAATATTGCTGGCCGTAAATCAGCCCCTGCTTCAAGGCCGTGGGCCCTGCCCCAAGTGTGGGAGGAAGGCGCAGGTCTGCGTACCACCTGTGTCTCTGACAACGGCCACGGCCAAACCCCCGTGGCTCGAGGGAAAGCCACCACTGGAAGACAGGCGGGAGGCCTGGCGTCACCATGCGCCCCTGAGGCTGCAGCTTCCTGACAAAGGTGGCTGAAGGATTCTGGTCACTGCTGTGGCCCCTGGCCGAGCCCGTCCTCGATCAGGACCCTCCCGGAAGGATCCTTGGCCACCAGGAGCTCCTAGCGCATGACCTCAGGTGCCAGGAATGCGCACTCAGCGCTGCCGCCATCTGGCTCCCATTACCCACGCTCCGCTGCGGGAAACCTCATCTGCGTCTCGGCTCCCGGCGCCTGCCTGCGAGATGCTGATTTGGCCTCAATAGAGACTTCAGCAGCCAGGGGCGAGGTGAGGCACATCTGCACCTATGCGGCTCGAGGGCCAGCGCTGGCAGCTACGCTGCAGCACGGCAGGGCCCGGCACGCTCGCTGAGGGCCTCAGAGGACGACGCCTGTGGAGGCCTGGGATGCTGAGGGCCTCGAGGCCCCCCGTACTTCCTCCTCAGAGGTCTGTGCTTCACAACTGGAGCGTCCAACTTTGAACGTGGAGTCTAGTTGTCTCCGAGCAAGGGAGCTGGCCGTGCCCAGCGGGAGGAGCACTCTCCTCTGTTTCATGCGCAGGGCTGAGCGGGGCCCCTGGCCCAGCCACCACCATCACACCAACCACAGCCATTCTGCCATGCCTGGCTTCCCTCTGCTTTAACTTTCCAATTCATCAGGACAGTAAAAGTTCATCTGTGGACTGCAACATGCCCATAAATTTAAGTCTTAAGTTCCAGCAGCTGTTTCCCAAACAAACCAGGAGAGATCAGGCAGCTCTAGGCCAGGAGGGCAGGAGGGGCCTCTTCCCGGAGCCCTGGGTGCAGGGCCAGGGGCGCTGCAGTCCGGGTTACAGCGGGGCTCTCAGCGGAGCGGCCTAGGTTTCAGCCCTTTGCAAAGTCAGGCTGATGAAGTTCAAGCCACAGCGAGATGGAGCACAGGACCCTATGTGCTGCCTGGTTCCCAGCAGGAGTCGGGGGCTGTGAGGGAAAACCTGATGCCCGCCTGGCCGGGTGTGGCACCCAGGGAGGCGGCCTTGGCTGCTGAGCACAGGAAGACCCAGCACCGGAGTGGCTCCACCCCAGTTCCTAAAGATGACCGCCATCGCTATGACTTTCTAACCCAGGCCCACAATCCCCAGGCCTCAGAGACCCTCCTTCTGGATAGAGGCACCAGGAGCTCTGCTGCCTACAGCCAGGCCTGGCCCCACTGGGAGGCCTGTCTGATCCTCTTTCCCATGGGGCCTCCATGGGACAACAGGACAGAAAGATGGACAGGAAGTTGACTTTACTCCAAGTCAGCCACATGCTGGCACAGGCTGGTCTGCTGGGGAAAGGCGATGCCAAGGAGGTGTGCATGCGTGCCCTGTCCCCACATGTGACCGGTGACCCCTCCCACACTGGGCTCTGGCTGAGCTGCTCCCCAGGGCACCACAGGACCTGCCCTCTACCCTCAGGCCCCTGCTTAGATCCCACCAGCGACGCCGGGCAACCTCGCACCGGGGCAGGTGGCATGGCTGCTTGCTCTGGTTCTAACCTTGGTTCTCTGACAGGACTGTTCTTTTTGGGAGGCTAGTAGCCTTCCAGCTGCAGTGTGACAGGTCTCACTTTGCCCGACCTCAGTGTCCATCTGTGGGCCTCTACGTCACTGCTTTCTGGGGTGCACCCTTTGGCCCTGCTCCTTCTCAGCTGCCCTCTTGCCCAGGACTCCTTGCCCACCCCATGACACCCCTGCTCCCAGCTTTCCTTGCTCCATGCCTCTCTTGGGATACCTGGTGACAAAGCCCCACCCCCAGGTTGCACCCAGGGTGTGGTGATGCCTGGTGGGCACTTCAGCATGTCCTGATTTTCAACCGGGACCACCCCCCTCAACCCATGTGCCTCAGGGGCTCAGTGCTGCCCACTCAGGGCCTCTTTCCCTGGCTTTGGGGGCCCGTGCTGGGCAAGTGTGAGGCAAGGCAGGCTTGCCAGGCTGCTGCGCAAAGCTTCCTTATCTGGAGAGGAGCCTCGAGAGATGCCCTCTTCCTTGGTCTCCTGTCTATGATGGGAGGCCTGGACCAGCACAGCCCCAGCAGAGGCAGGCTGCCCCCAGGCCCTGTCCTCCAGCGCCCAGTGATGAGAGCCCAGGTGAGGAAGGAGCGGGGCTGCTGCTGCTGCTGCTGGCTGACACCCTGAGGGCCACACAGCTTCCCCCTGGGCCCTGCTCCCCACCAGACCCGGGTGCAGAGAGCTGCCTCCTCAAGGAGCTTCTACTCGCTAAAGTCAAGCTTCAGCCCTCCAAGGCTTCCAGACTAACGGGAGTTCCTCGCCCACCCTCAGAAGCCAGTGTGCAACCAGGCCATCCCCTGGGGGCTGACAGGACAGGGTGCACCCAGCGCCTCACCCCCCATGGCCTGCATCCCCCGGGACCTGCACCAGAGTGAGGCCTGGACAGGACAGTCCCCACCTCCAACTCCATCGCCTCCGTCCCACCCAGGGCTGAGCATGTGGCTGTGCCCCTCCATGCTGAGCACCGGGCACAGGCTCAGACATGGCCGCCAGGAGCTCGCAAGCCACACGGATGGGAAAGTCCGCTAGGACGTTAGGGGAAGGTTTTTAGCAACACTTCCCTCTGCCCTGACTCTTCACCCCTTCCCTGCGGCCCGTGAGGAACGGCCTCCCTGGGGCTGGCTCGCAGACCACCACAGGGGCGTGACTCCATGGATCTCTCCACATTGCATTTTGGGTTTTTTTTTGATTAATCAGTTCCTTACTGACCAAATTCCTCTGAGTTTTTGCAAATGGGCTTGCACACTCCTGGACTCTACATGCCTCTTCTCTAGATGGACAGGACGTGACTGCCGCTAACCCCAGGTCTGAGAGAAAGCCAACCCAGCGAGCAGCCCCACACGCCCACGCCCCCTTCTTCCTGCGCCCGGCACCCGCCGCAGAGTGATTAATTAGCCAGGGATCTGCTACAGCTCCTCTTCATGCCTAAATATTGTTTCAGCCTATCAGACTGTTAGTGCAAAGCAGGATAAATGACACTTTGGGTCTGGCGCACTGACCTGCAGGGCCTGCTGCTCATCCAGGCTCCAGACAGCCAGCGCTTTCTCTGCGGAGCCTGAGACGCCCCTGGCCTTCTGGGAGTCAAAGTCAAGGGCCATGACGGGCTCTGTGTGGCAGGCAATGCGGCTGCACACCTTCCGCTCGGAAACGTCCCACAGGGCCACCGATCCATCCTCATAGCCAGCCAGGAGGAGCGGGCGGGGGCTGGAGTTGGCCTGCAGGGAACAGCACAGCAGTCAGCTCCCGAAGGGTCCTGGTGTGTACTGGGGGAGAAAGGGCTGAAGAGGTGGCCGGCCCAGCCGGGGCCTGTTTCCCGTGTTCTCCACACAGCAGTAGCAGTTCACAGGCTCTGCACGCCCCCTTGATGGCGGACACTGTCAGCACAGGGCCAGCACGGGTGCTGCTGGGGCCCCCTGAGGATGGGGACTAGAGGGCACAGAGCCCAGGCGCAGCCCTGCCTCATGCTGCTGTGCCACTGCTCCTGCTGGGCACTCACCACGACCACTGCAGGGTGCTGCATGTCCTCCTGCCTCCTTTCCACAGGCCTGAGACTTGTGGCCATACCTTGGTGGGGCCGGTCACCTGTCTAGAACCGCCAGCCAAAGAAAATCGAGAGCTCCATCTCAATGAAAAATGAACTTTCTGTGCTTTGTCAACGTCACTGCAGAAGCCCCCCGACCCCCAAGCCTGGTGCGGCGCTGCGGCGCTGACTGCTGTGAGCCGCCCTCTCGCCGGCCTGAGCTACTGTGATGGATGAGGGTGTGGGTCAGAGGCCTCTGCTCCCTGGGCAGGCGCCTCGTTCATCTGGCCTCTGCAACAACTCCAGAAAAAGAGCGCTGTGGGACTCCGAGTCACCCTGGCACCAAGGGTGGTGGCCGCTGCCTGCTACCCTTCACTTGTCTCTGTTCCCCATCGAGCTGCCTGGGGTGGGTGTCACTCCAGTGTCAGGAATAGCTGAGTACATCCCCTCCTCGGAGAATTTTCAACTGGGCCTCAGGGAGCTCCAGCTGGGCCTGGCCCTCAGCTTCTGGATGGTCAACACTGAGAACGGGAGCCTGTGGGGCTCCTGCCTCCTGAGTCACCTGCAACCTGGAGGATGGTCCCCTGTCCGCGGGCAAGGCTGGCGCTGAGCAGAGTACCTGGGCCTCATTGGACATGGCCGACAGCACCACAGAGGCCTTCCTCACCCGCCTGCAGGAGCTCCTAGTCCTGAGTTGTGCGGGTGTTTCTGCCCGCCAAGGGGCAGAAGGGGAGTCCACGAGTGGACTCTGCGTCCTCAAACAACCCAAGGAAGCAGGGCTTTCTCTGTGCATCAGAAGGGAAGACTGAGGCTGTGGGGTGTGGTGTGCGTCACGGGGCCCCAGGATGGGAGCCAGGGAAGCCTGAAGCAGATCAGCTCCTTGATCTGGAGGAAATGGCTGTGCCAGGGGATGGGGAGGACACGGCCACCAAGACGCACACAGATAGAGCGAACCCTCCCAGGCCAGAGCTGATCCGGAAGCCGCCTCGTGCACATCCCTGGAAATGGCTGGTCCACTCAGGGCCTCCGCTGACAACAGACGTTCACACAGACAATAGAAAGGAGGAGTCCAAGGAAGGGAGTGAGGCTCCTGAGAGGACGCCGCGGCAGCCTGTGTGCCTCCCTGGGGCCGCTGCTAGGCTGACGGCCCCACGGCCACCTGGAAGAGCAGTCAGGAGAACGGCCCAGCGGCTGTGAGCCTGAGAGGTGCATGTGCACAGCACCTGGCGAGACCCTGCTTCCACCCGGCCTCCCTGCAGAAGCCTTGATAGCGTTGCTGAGCTTTCCCTGTAGTTTTGTAACAGAGAAGAGCTCCCTTTTGGCATTTTTCAGATCATCTGATCAGAAATTAAGTGTGCAGCATAAAGTTATTTACAATGGTTTTCTCCAAAAATGTGCAGAGGACTTTAAAAAGTGGTCAGGCCCTCTCCCCAAGCAGCTCCTTGTGGGCAGCCATGCCTCTCCAGACAGGGCCTCCCTCCGTGAGTGTATCTGCACGCGGGCCAGGCTGAGGGCCAGGAGCTCGCACTGGCCCTGGGACCAGCCCTGCCAGGCTCACCCCACAGGCTGGCTGTGAGGAACTCTCCGGGGCCCACTTGGGTCCGCTCCCCTTGGGCCAGTGCTCTGTTGTGTCACCTGCTTCCCCTCCATGCTGCCTAGGCCCAGCCCGGCCCCGGCCCCCGGGCACGTTCCTCCTGTGTCCAGGGCTCCTCTGGGTGCTGACACATCGGTTCCAGTGAGTCTCTGTAGCCCAATCCCATGTGGGGCCTGTGGTCTCTGGGCTCTGAGTGCCTCAGCTAGCGCAGGGGCTGCACGCTACTGCCCCCCTGTTGAGGTGCCATGGGTGGCCAGAGCAGGAGCCGGACTGGCCTGCAGGCGCTCACCCTGCGGTTGCCAAGGGGGCCCAAATGCTGAGCCCCGGCCCCGGCTGGCTGCTCCTCCCCACCCGAGCTGTGGGCCCCTCTAGCTTCTCTCCTGGCATGTTGGGTCCCTGTGGTGCCCCAGCGACAGACATTGCAGGCAGGACAGTGCTTCTGTGGCCTCTGGCCTTTGGTGGCTATGCCCTTGGTGCCAGGCTGAGCTCCATGGGGCGAGAACCTGAAGTTGCCACAAGGACTCACTGTGTGTCCCCTCCTGTCTCTGGGCACAGTGCCCAGAGAGACTCCCAGCAGGCAGGCCCTGGCCGCAGCACCTCGTGGCCCTTGGCTTGGTGGGGCCCACTAGAGGGGCCTGAGGCCCAGGGGCTGGCAGCTTGTTCTGGGCCTGGTGCAAATGGTCTTCCTGACCTTTTCACATGATCATCACAACCATGCAGGTCAGCCACCGTGAGGAGCAAAACAAGAATACATCTGAATGTTTCAGAAAAAATACTGTGTCAGGCTATCTGCCACACTCAGATTACTAAATTATAACCTAGACCTTCAGGTTTGGAGAGAAAAAAAGGGACATTTCACACTAATGTAGACTTTTCTTAACAGAACGCTTTGCGCTGGATCTATATCAACTAACAAAAACATGATTTGTCCTTCTGTCAACTATATTAATTACCTTAACAAGTTTGTACATCCCGTTTCTACACATTCTTCCGCTGGAATTTTTACATGATTACACAATGACAGTGTTACCAGGGGACAGAGTACAAGTGATGCAGCCGCGGCTGCCGTCCTGCCTGGGACCTGTGAGCCTCACACCATCGCCCACAGCATCGGGTCCGGGGGCGTCCCGACCAAGTGGCTGCCACAAACCTGCTGGCGCCAGGAGCTCCGTCACTCAGGTGAGTCTCTCAGGGCCCCACCTCCTCTGTCCCCAGCCCCCAGGCTTCTCTCTGAGAGGCTGCAGCAGCAGGACACTGTAGGATTGGCTGATCAGAGATTCCAAATTCCATCTGGAATGTTCTTGGCTAAGAAACTGCAGGGAGAACCAACTACAAGAAAGGGCCAGTTCCTGGAGGGACCAAAGCTTGGGGCAGGGTCTCTGGGGGCCCTGTCGCCATGTGTGCATCTCCACGTACACAGCCGCTGGTCTGGTTCTAGGAAGGACTCACGGGGTGGTGGGGTATGAGGCAGGAACCACCTCTTCCAGCCCCTGGCGTACGGGTGGCTCTCGGAAAGTGCTGTTGAACTCAACACAGCTGGCAAAACAGCCCTGAGCCCTGCTCACCATGGTATCTCAACAGCCACGACACTGCCCCAGTCTTGCTGTACCATCTGTTCTCCTGCCCCAGGCATGAGCGCCCCGAGGAGTGCAGCGAATGCTGAGCCAGGGCTGCCCTCTTGGGGTGGGGGCTGGCCTTGAGGAGGGCTTGGCCTCAGGTGGAGGCAGGTGGGCCCGCGAGCATCCCTCCCGGGCCTGGGGCTTGACCCTGGGGCTGAAACTCATTCTGCCAGGACTCAAGACTGTGACCCCCTCCCTGGCCCCCCAGACTTCTGCTGCCAGCCCAGGAGATGCCTCTCTAATCAGATTAGACCCTCCCTAATCAGAAAGAACAGTCGAGATAGAAGGAAATGGCTGTGGACCAGAGATTCCAAGTATGGCTGCAGGGAAAGTCACATGTTAAGCCCACTCCTGTCTCTACGAGGCAGAGAAGTAACAGAAATTCATCCAAAGCAAGCAGGGGCCATGCAGGCCTGGAGAGGTAGTCAGCACTCCCCTCCCAGCCCCACGCAGCATGGCAGATGGGTGTGCGGAGAGGAGGGGGCCGCGTCCTCCCCAGGAGGGGCCAGTTCAGCTGACCCTGCCGTCCCTCCTTACATGGGCAGGGGTGCCCCTCAGAGCCTGCGGTGGTTTGCAGGACTGCCCTTGCAGTGCAGGGAGGCGGCAGGAGCCGGCCAGGACACGGAGGCAGGGAGGCGGGGAGCACACGTTCCCCGGGGCTGACTGCCCCTTTGGTTTGCCGACAACCAAATCCTGAATGAGGCATGATTCAGGGCCCGGGGGGCGTGGCTGGCAGGGCGTGGTTGGCGTGTGCTGCGCCTTACCTGCCACAGCTCCAGGCACATGGGCATGCCCGGCTTGGCATCTGCCTCTGGCTTTAGGGTGCACACTGACGTCTTGGATGGCATCTCCAGAATCTGAACCTGACAGTAAGAAAACAAGTTGATTTGGGCTGATGCCAAGTCGAATCTGTGCTATACAAACAAGAGACTTTTAAGGTGATTAGCCAAGGCTGCCACGAGTTTCTGTCTCTCCCTGTAGGAACCTAGGAGCCGAGACTCCTAATTAGGCCACATGGGCTCGTGGGCTTGGGCACTGCCGGGCCTTGCGAAATGCACACGTCATTCCTGAGTGACCGGCACGTCCCTCTAACCAGCGTTATCACCTGGCAGCCATCGCTGGCCCCTCTGGATTTTACCTCTTCCATGAGCAGGAGGCCTGACTCAGCTCACTGATTCTCCCGACCTCAGCCTGCTTCCCCTTGCTGGTGTGGGCTGTCCATGTGAGCGGCTGAGTTGTCTCAGGCATATCAGATGGTACAGAGCTTGCACAGGGACACCAGGGACCCAGCACCATGCCTCCAAAGGGACAGGATGGGCAACGAGGGAGCTCTGTTTGGAGCCACCTGTCCCCATACCTTTATACCGGGTCTCATGGCTATGCTTTGTGTCACCTGAATGCAGCTGCAGAGCCCTCCTGCGCCTGGGCTGGGAGACGCGCCTAGCTGGCCCGCATGACCGGCTCACACCTGGCCTGTCCACCTGAGCTGGGCCAGGCTCCGCCCCGCACCATCCGCAGGCAGGGCAGAGGCTGCGAGGAGCAGGCTGGGTCACTGGAGTGCTGCAGACTGGAACTGGGCCTCCAGCCATCTGAATCCCTAGCGCCTCAGCTCCCTCATCCATCAAGTGGGGACAAGGGCGACCCTCCTGCGGAGTGTGGAGGAGGAGAGGGGATCCTGTGCAAAGCGGGGCCTCCGCTCGGCAGTGGGGACACTCGGCGGCCCTTAGCTCCCAGAGGTACTGGGGAGAGGCGCTCTACCAGTAACATCACAACACAACGTGCAGCCACCTGGAGCCATGCCTCACCCCCACCAACGTGGGGCACCCTCTGGTTTGCAGACAAGGAGCCTGAGGTCCGGAGGGGTTGGGGACGTCAAGGAGATAGCTGGCCTGCTGTCTGACATCCAGAACACAGAACCCCCAGTGAGGAGAACTCCAGGGGAACTTGAAGTGTGTGTGTCTGAGCCTCGCTGCTCTCACTAATACCCCAGGAGAACCTGCCCAAGGCCCAGAGTTAAGTCCCGGGTCTGAGTTCCAGATCCACCACATGTGTGCTGGGTGGCCGTGTCCAAGGGCAGCTGCAGGCAGGGCAGAAAGCCAGCGGGACGGCCTGGCCCTCTCAGCTGTGGCCCTGTGCCAGGCCAGCCCCTGTGCCCAGGCAGCACCTCTGTGGCTGGGGCCGTGGGCACACTCTGGGAAGGGCTCTCACCAGAAGCTGCCCAGCTGCCCAGCATCCCAGCACCAGGGGAGAGCCTCGCTACCCAGGAAGGGTAAGTCCTGGGGCCCCCGCCAAGGGCACACACAGAAGCACACAGCACACACCAGGAGGCCTACGAGGCCACATCGACACCAAGAGCAGCCGTCTTGGCCCTCACTGCCCACAAAGAGACAGAAAAGAACCCAAGTGACATGAGCAGTTCTTATGTCCTGAAGAGACTGCTAGAAGGGGCCCTAGAACAGCAAAACGCTCAAGGAGAAGCTCTAGTGAGACGACAAGAAATATGAGAGAGAGGGCGCATGACAACCAAGGCGCAGTGGCCACTGAGCATGGCCCAGAAGTAACAAGAAAAACCAAGGGCAGGGAGACGGCCTCTTGGAGCCCTCCCGCTTGGTCTCCGCAGTGAGAAACATCGGCCCAGTACAGGCTTATCGCCGGAGGACCGCAGAAGAGCTGTGGGGAGTGGGGAGTACCCGTGGGGCACACTCACCCCAGGGGCCAGCACCCCCAACAGAGCAGAGAGACACGCTCTTCTTGGTCTGATGCATCAGGGACCCAAGCCTGTTCAAGGGCAAAGCAGCAAGTGTCAGCTGCATGCATGGCAGCGTCACGGAGGCCCCGTGAGCTGGCCCATATCTGTGCTGTGAGGGACGGTCTTGGAGGATGTGGACTATGCTAGTGCCAGCTCTCCTACAATGAGATCTCTTCCTTCTGTCACCACATCAGGAGGATGGGCTGGTTTCAAGATGTTGACTGGGTGGCGGGAAGAGAAGCCACAGGGAGAGGGATGCCGGAGGACACAGAAGTCACCAGACACACAGTCTGCACAGGCCTGCACCTTGGATGGCCTGGCATGCAGGTCCATGGGTCAATGAGGGACAGTCTGTCCCCATCTGCAGGCTCAGGAATACCCCTCTGGGGGCAGTGAGGAGTGGTGTGAGGCCAACTGGATCAGGCAGGGGTGAGTTGCCCAGCAAGTCTGCTCTGGCCAGGAAGAGAGAGGGCGAGGGGAAACCAAGGGCAGCCCTGAGCCAGAGCCAGGCGCTGTGCGAGGGAGTGTGGGCGGCAGCAGCCAGGGCCACAACCCGGGTGCAGGAGAGCAAGGAGCCCATGCATGGCCTGAGGACTACGGGTGGGCTCCGGGCCCTGTGGGTCCAAGACGCAGTTCTGCGCCCTGACAGGGCCCTGGCGCCTGTGCTGGGGCCTCCTGCAGACACCGCCATGCTTTACATCTGGCACTCAACTGCAACTTGTGTTTCCAGAAGGAAAAATGTTTGGTTTGGGCAAGTGTGGCCACCCAGACAGCCGGGTGGAGCGGGGGCATATTCTCTGCAGGCACCGTCTGGGCACAGGCCAGTGAGGCTCTTCCAGGGCCCAGTCCAGGCAGATTCCAGGTGGGAACATGGAAAACAGCTATTTTCCCAGGATATGCAAGGTCCCCAGACTGGCTGCTTCTGAAAAACACACATGCTGCCTGCACTGGGAGAGCTGTGGCCAGGAAGTTGGTTAGAAACAGCCTCGAGCAAAGGGGATGAATGGTCTCAGGGGCGAGGCCCTGGGAGTAGGGCCAGAGGGACATGAACAGCCGGGGCGGCCTGGGGTGGCTAAGATGTGGAGGACAGTATGCAGCACCCTGACCTCAGCGGAAAGAGCTGGCTCAAGCCCGGGCCGGTGTCTGTGGCATGCAGCACGGAAGGAAGCCCGGGCGCTGCCCAGCTCCTGCCGTCCGGGAGGGAGCACAGCCCTCTCTTTTCACGTTAATAAAACTTTTAACAGGTTTTTGGCAAATTGGCAAGAAAAGTGTATGTAGCTCCTAATTGGTGATTTAAACGCAATCATGAACAAATAAATGCCTGTTCTCTCTCATTATTTATGAACTGAATCTGCTTTAAGACAAACGACTCTTCTTGGGCGGGGGCCAAACCTCACCATGTGCACGGGGCCAGGGCCCTGCCCAGTGCCGCCTGCTGCACAGGCTCTGGGGGCCAACAGGGGCACAAGCAAGCACAGGAGTGGGTGGCAGACAGGAGGCTCCCTCCCCTGCCCATGTGCACCCCCAGCCCCCGCCCACACTTGGCACCCTGGCCCCTACACTCACCCTGCCCCTGAGCGTCTGTGCCCCACACTCACCAGGCCCGTCCAATTGCCCTCGTGGTTTCTTCTTCGATTTCCCTTCAGCTCCTCCAAGAGCTGGCACATCCAGCCATGCCTCCGCCCTCTACCACACCCCATCCTGGCTTCCTGCCCGTCTGCTCCAAGTCCTGGGCACTGCTTCTCTTGGTGGACACAGTCCCTTCTGCCCCCAGGCGTGTAGATGCCACTCTGCAGCCTGACCAGTCTGCTGCCACCAACCACTGCTGGCTGCTCTGGCCTGAGCTCCATGTGACAGAGACCTCCGAGGCTCGGTCACGTCCACCACCCCCGGGAGCTCCACCCTCTGATGTTCCCCTGCTCACCTGTGCCCCTCTGTACTGCATTTGCCACCCTGGTGCCAGCTCTTACTCCTGCATCCCAGTCCTGCCTGAGGCCTCTCGCTCCAGGGCCCAGTTCTGTTTCCCCGAAGTTCACCCTTCCCTGCTGTCCTGGCTCAGGGGCCCCCCTCAAGTTAACCAGGGCCTCCGTCTCTCCCACACCACCTCCTGCTGGCCTCCTGGGACTTCCGTCCACACGTGCCCGCCCCTAAGTCCTCTGAGGATCTGTGTGGGTAGTCTTTCCCCGTGTTCCCGACGGCCTCGGGCCTCGACACTTGTCCATTGTGCTGTGTTGTGCCAGCTGCCAGGGCTTCCCAGACGCCGGCCCACCCCCAAGCCTCCTTCCTTTTACCACCAGGGCACCTCTCAGGTGACCAGGCCAAGACCCAGCCTGAGGCCCCTGAAGCTGCGATCCAGCAGGCAGACCTATACCTGCCCCTGCTCCTCGGGGTCCTGCCATGGGCAGTGCGTTCCTGTAACCAGGTGCTTAGGATGAGCATGCCAGTTTAAGGGAAACCAAGCGCCCAGCAGCTCGTGGAACAAAGGGCCATGTGGGCTGGCGCTCACCTCATCACTGCCTCTCCCTGGCACGGCCAGCGTCCAGTGCTGATGGCCCCTCGCCAGGACAGAGCCCCTGCAGAAGCCGATGCTCTCCAGGCGCACGGAATCCACCACAGCATTTCTGCCCTCTCCCAGGTCCCATAGGCACAGCTTCAGGTCCCGGCCCTGGCTGCCAAAACCAAGAGGGGATGGGCGTGAGCCTCCTGGTGAGCAGGCTGTGTGCCACCCGGACAGATGTCAGCACGCCATAGCCGGCCAGAGGCCACAAGGAGGCAGGGGATGCTTCCAGAGAGGGCCATGGCTGGGGCCAGGTCATCAGGTGGGGGCACCTTGGCCAAGGAAGGGCTTTGCATCCAAGATGCCCACTGCCAGGATGTGCTCACGGCCCATCCCGGGGTGCACTGCAGACTGAAGCCCAGGGCGGTCCATGGCGCACGCTCCGCAAGCTGCCTCCTGTGGCCTTCCTGCCATTCTCTCTCCCTCCCTCTGTCTGTGAATTAACTGTGATAACTTGGCAATCCCACCCTCAGGTATTTTCCCAAGTGAATTTAAAACCTACATTCATATAAAAACCTGTACACGAATGTTTACAGCAACTCTGTTCATAATTGCCCAAACTGGAAACAACCCTTGGAGAGGAGACTAGATCACAAATGGTCTACACCACGGAATTCCACTCAGCAACAGGAGGAAGGAATGAGCACCACGCAGCAATCTGCAGGAACCTCAATGGAGGCAGCTAGCTCAAAAGGCCACAGTGCTGCATGACCCTTTCTGTGTGACACTCTAGGAGAAGCACGATGGAGGGACAGAGGACTGTGGGGCCCTGCCCACAGGCGGACAGCACAGGGGCTCTGCAGAGTGCCGACTGTCCTGGGTGGCCCTGGGGTGGCGCATACGTCACTGTGGGCCGCCATCAAAACCACAGAACTACAGCACAAAGTGAGCTTTACCATGTATACATTAAAAAGTCAACCAACCAGGAGGTCAGGATCCCAGGACGGACTGCAGACCATGACAAAAGCAGGGCATACTGCGCCCAAGGGGAGGGCAGACAGGAGCCAGCCCATAGAATTTGGGAAAAGTAGGTCCACTTGAAACTGCAAAGTTAAAGACAAAATAACCATGTGACACTTAGAACTCTGGCTGGTAAGTCTGCTCTCACAAGCGTGCAGGTCAGCAATTCTGAAACCCCTCACGTGGACAGCAGGTTGACCAGAGGGGCACGGAAGCAGTGAGAGCAGGTTACTCCCCGTCACGGAAAGTGGTCACAAAGAAGCCTGGGGAGAGAAGAATGGAGCCTGTGGTGTTGGATTCACATCGGAAACGTCAGTATGAAAGTATGTTTATCCAAATACACAGATAGACAGACATAGAGATGCGCACAGGTGTGTGTGCAGCGTGGCTCATACCCACACAGGTATTCCCCAGGCTGCCCCAAGAACACCTAGAAGCAACAACGGCCCAGCAGCGATGCGCGCACCCAGTGCCCAGGGCTAGTTCCTGACCCCTTTCTCCAAAAACAGGAATGAGGTTTCTGGAGAAATGTCTGAGTCTAAGGCTGAAGTGGGGAAAAACTAAGATGAGTTCTGAGCATCTTGTAGTGTAAGGAAATACTCTGAAAAATAAAATAAAGGATGGGGGCATATCCAAAGGACACAGGCTCCAAAGCTGGCACAATCTGAGCAATAACATAAGTAATGGCAGCAGGAGATTATAACCCAAGAATACAGCAGGAGGAGTGTGGGAAACAAAGTCCCTGAGAAGCCTGCAGTGAGCGCAGGGGCAGACCCCACAGAAGGAGGTGACAGTCAGAGGGCAGGCCCAAGGAGAAAGAGGACACACGCACAGCCTCAGGGGTCCCCCCAGACGCTTACTAGCACTCCGGTGGCCCTAACACAAGACCACACATCCTTGGACCCTCCCTAATTCTTAATTCTTCGTCCCTTGAGGAAGGTCCTTGCTGGACCCAATGACTCACTGCCAAGGAGCCCAGTAAGCAGAGAGATAATATCCCTGAAGATAGGAAACACGCAGACACAGCCCAGCCCAGGCGACCAAGGTGGCCCTCACCAGAGACGAGTCCCATGGATGTCACGGACTTCTGGACGAGAAGGGCACTTTGACTCTGCGGGTCTCCTTCCAAAAGCCCCCCACCCCATCTACTCCTGAGAAAGCACAAGGCAAACCCCCATGAGGGGCATTCTACAAAACTCCTGGCCAGCCCTCTCCCCAAGGGTGGAGGCCATGAGAAACAGGGAAAGGGAACTGGTCACAGAGCAGAGGGGACTGAGGACATGGGACAAGTGGGTGGAGCCTGGAGCAGAAAGGACAGTGGCGGGAGATGGGAGAACCCTCATAAGGCCTGGCGTCCAGGAGCCGGTGGTGCAGCAGTGTTCTGCCAGACCTGCCCTGGCACATAACACGCCAGGCCCCCGAGGACGCGGTGCTGTGCAGATGTCCGCTCTCCGCAGGCTCCCCAGAGCAGCTCAGTCCCAATCCAGGCCTCAGCTCCATCTCAGAGAGCCCCCAAGCTGATGTGAAACGCGCCCGGGCATCCACAGGACTAGGCCCCCAGGCACTCCCGAGGAGCAGGGCTGACGCGGCGCTCCGCCAGAGAGCAGGCCTCAGCCAGACGGGTGGCAGCGAAGGAGAGAGACGTGACGGCGTTCTCAACACAAGGACGGACGGAGCCGAAGGAAGAGGAGGCGCTGAGCAACGTGCTCACACACGGAAGGCATCTGACTCACGGCCGAGATGGCAGCCGTGCCAGGAGCAAAGAACTGGCCTGTTCTTAAGTAACTTTTTATTTTGAATTTGTTTTTAACTCACAGACCAGTTGCTCCCATGCCTCACCCTGTCCCCTAATTAGTTCCCTAATTGCTAATGTACACATTCTCTCCTGCCCTGATGCCCTGCTCCTAGAAGGTCCAGTGTGCACCTCGCCACCTCCACACTCCCCTCCAGGGGCAAGGCAACCCCAGAACAGCCCACAGCCTGTCCGCACTTTGCCACTGGTCCTGCAGTGTGTCCTGGAGTGACCTGCTCTGGGCCCTAGCGGACCCACACCATGCTTGTCAGTCTTCATTAGCCCCCTGGACCAGGACAGGCCTCATCCTGCCGTCACTCGTGTCCTTGGCACTCTTAGAGAAAGGAGGCCTTTTGATCCCTAGGGTGACATTTCCACGTTTGGGAAGGACAGCACCCTCTCAGTGCATTGCACCAAGGCACATGATGCCAACTGTCTACCCTGGTCGCCTGGTCAACAGGCGCCTGCCAGGTATGTCCACTGCAAAGTCACTACTCCCTGTTTGCTGAATATTTGTGCAGAAGACATTCTGATATTATGCCGATATCCTAACCTTCAAATGGCCCACTGCCTTGGCACACACTGATGCTGCCCACCTGTCAACCAGGCCTTCACGGCCGCTAACAGGCAACTCCCTATGTCCATCTTCCACATTCACGAGGTGCCATCCTGCTGAAGAATGTGCTTTCCCTTCTGCTGTTCCTTCTCTCCCTATGGGTGTGGACACATGCATTCTTATATTATTCAATGCAAAATTCTCATTATTTTTGTGCTCAAACCATCTCAGATTGGCCAGTGGGAATCCCTTCAAGTTAGTTCAGAGTTCTTCTGACACGTGTCCGTCAGTAATATACTCCAGACCCAGAATCAGCCATTTCTCTAAGGAATCCTTGCTCCTTCCAGTGCAGAGGGATGTTTAGAAACAAAGATCTGGGCGCTGGCGTGCTCACTGTCATAAGGTGCTGCCATCACAGGCCCTCTCGGCAGAGAAGGCCAGGAAATACACACACACATACCAGACACCCCTCACCCCCCCACACACACCTTACACATTCATACACCTGACACACACACTTGACACACGTACACACACCTCACACTCACAAATATTTCTGTACCTATCTTTGTGCAATATTCTCAAAACCCCACAAGTTCATGCTGATGCCCTGGGGGTCCTTCCTCTCCTTCCTCCTTCTCAGGCTGTGATCCCTCCTCTGACAAGGAAAATCCGGCTGCTATTATCCTCAAGATATTTACTGACATGCTCAGCTGATGAACTTGCTTGTGTGATGTAGCTGATCTCCCAACCTCCCCAGCCACCTGTGACCCTGTCCCCCATCACTCTGCTTCTCTGGCCGCAGGCTTGCTGCTCCAGCACCTCTGCCCAGGAACCACCGCCTTCCCTGTCCCACTTCCTTGGATGCTGATGTTGCCAAACTTGGAAGGGAAATGACAGCAGGGAAGATGGGAGCATTGGGTGTCCTTATGGAAACAAAGACCCCTCGTCTGCACTGATAGTGGATTCCAGACAAAGGTGGAGGAAAAGGAACAGCAATGAAGTTCTGGGAGACGAGAGGGGCTTCACAGCCTGGGGCCAGGGCTCCTTCAGAAGACACAGAAGCAGGAGCCATAAGGGAAGACCACGGACCTGACTTTACCAAGATGACTCACTTCTGCTCATTAAAGACAACACCAAGAGGGGCTGGCCCCGTGGCCGAGTGGTTAAGTTCGCGCGCTCCGCTGCAGGCGGCCCAGGGTTTCGTTGGTTCGAATCCTGGGCACGGACATGGCACTGCTCGTCAAACCACGCTGAGGCAGCGTCCCATATGCCACAACTAGAAGGACCCACAATGAAGAATGTACAACTATGTACTGGGGGGCTTTGGGGTGAAAAAGGAAAAAAATAAAATCTTTAAAAAAAATTTAAAAAATCAAAAAAAAAGACAACACCAAGAGAGGGAAATGCACGTGCGTGTTAGAGAAACAATTGGTGATATGGAAATATCTGGCATACCAAGACTATAAAAAGAACTCCTCAACTTCATAACCCAATCAGAAAAAGGCAGCCAATCCGGTAGAGAATGGGCAGTGAAGAGAATTTATCCAACTGGCCATCATGGACAGATGAGGCTTGCTCATCAAGTGGTCAGGAAAACAGAAACGAGGCCACACCAGGGGCTCGGGCTCCTGTGGGGTGGGGGCACTCTTGCTGCACCGGGGAGTGCAGTCTGGCCTCCAAGCCACCCAACGTGTGCACACCCTGTGCCCTGGACACCCATCTATGGGCACAGGGTCAAGCCTGCAGACGTGTGTGTGCACCTGGCACTATGAGACCCCGTGGGAGTCTCCTTAAGCTGCATCCTTCACAGCGCCAAGTGGACAACCCAGATCTTCACAGTCAGTAGATGGTAAGTAATCTGGGCATGCGCATCCAGCAGATACCACACAGACAGAACCCACATGACAAAGCTTCATACACCACCGGGGATCTTGCCAAGGCAGAGCTGAGTAAAGGAATCAGAGGCAAAGGACGCTGTTCCACATGGCTCCATTCTTTTAAGTTAAGAAAGAAACAGACAAAATGAGTCTATGCCTTTTGGAGATGCACATTCAACAGTGAAGCAAGAACAAGGCACGAGGGGCTGCCTCCCGAGGACAAGGACGGGGTGGCCGGGCAGGCATGAGGGGCTCCTGGGGGCTGCCAGTGCTCTGCTTCCTGATGGGAGTGGGCGCGCAGGCGTCCACTCCATGATAATACACCATTCTGCAGACTTGTTCTGGGCACTTTTCTCTAAGTGCATTACATCTCAAAATAAAAAAGGTAGAGAACAGACTCACCAGGTGGCTGTCGCGGACACAAGTGCGTCCTCGGGTGCAGGTGGGGCTGAGGGGTGTCTGCAGGGCAGCCCTAGGCTTCCTGAAGCCCTGAGCACAGCCTGGGGAGGGCTGGGGCCCCTGGCTTCCCGTCTTCTGTCCTCCAGCCTCCCCTTGACATGAAAGCACACGTTCCCTTCTCAAGGGCCACTTTGGAGAGACTTGACATCCAAACACAGCTGGGCGTGCGGCCTCTAGTGCAATGTACACACACCTGGGCATTCCAGGCACCTACATGGTCTGCACCGCAGACCTCCTGACCCACAGGCCCTGCCTGGATCGAGGCTACTGCAGAGCCATCTAGGCTAGAAGGGGAGGTGCCATCAAACATTCACTCACAGGCCACACTTGGAGTTTGCCTCCCCACACAGCATCAGGCCTGGCTCTCCAAGGAGTGGAACCTGAGATCTGGGCATCAGGCACCCAGGCACTTGCTGCCATGGGTTCCCGGAGGACAGCCGAGGGTGCCCAGGCCCTGATGCAGCAGGAATCCCCACCAGGCCTGCACCTGGGCTGGAAACACAGGAGGAACACTTACAAATGGCAACTCTCGATCCAAGTGCTTAGTGGGGTATTTGATTATGACCTCTACTTGACAATCTGGGAAAGACCAACACTGTACAGAGGGCCCTCTACACCAAGCGGGGGCGCGTCTGGGCCAGCCTGGCCAGGAATGAGGCAAGGCCTGGCAAGGGCTCTACAAGCAAACACATCAAGGGCCACTAGCCCCCGGATGCCTCGGTCCCCTAGTCATTTGTGAGCTACCTTCAGGGTGGGGAGCTGCATGAGTCTGGCACAAAAGTGTTCTGTAGACCAGTGGGAGCCTGGCAGGTTTCCTCTTCTCGTAACTGGGCTCCACAGTGCCCGGATGTCCAGGCTCTGAGTCCAGAGCAGAAGAGGCCAGTCCTGGAGCTCTGGGGCAGATGGTGTCAGGAAAGTAGCACTCTGACTTGGCAGATTCCTGGGCTGGCACAGCAATCCCCACACAGGGAGCAGACAGCACCACCCAAGAAAAGGGCCCACTCGGCAGCCAGGTGGGCCCCTGGCTCCTGCATGCCCTCCGGGCTGTGGCCTGCCCTGGCATTCCCCTGCCCCCTGGGAAGAGGGAAGCCCCTCCCAACTTGCTCTCCCACCCACCTGCCCCTTCCCGCTGCCTCCTGGCCCACTCTCACCTGCAGTCCTCAGCCTGTCACCTCCACAAGCCCGCAGTGGCAGTGCCAGGACACATCCCCTCTCTGCTCTGCTTCCCAGCCCCTTGTGGCCCCTTCTGACACTCATAGGCTGGGCCCTATGTGGCCTCGGCACACATTCTCCTCTGCTGGGAATACCAGCATCTCCTGCTCACCTTGCACTGGCCAGCCCTGTGCCACAGACCTGGGCACCCGAGTGGCACTTCCAGTGCCCCTGGAGGTAGCCGCGCTGGCGGTGTGGAGCACAGTCCCAAGTAGCCTGTGTGAGCTTTAGGATCAGGATCTGCGCCACCCTGGCCACCAGTCCTTGTCATGCTATGGGAAAGCGGCTCCATGGCCAGGGAGAAGGCCACTCTGTAGAGAGGCTGTCATGACACCCAGGCCCAGGTGCCTGTGGGAGAGAAGCTGAGGCTCCTTCAAGGAGAGACCTCAAGCTTAGCCACAGGCCCCAGCTCTTGCCACTGGGGAGCCCTGGCAGGCCAGGGCGGGCTCTGCTCAGGCCACGGACAGGGTGGTCCTGTGCGTTCATCAGGCTCCTCTCAGTGGGCACCTGCTGGGACAGCACAGTAGTTAGAGAGGCAGTGACCAGCACCCAGCACACCTGGGCTGCGTGGCCTCAGGATGGGTGGAGGACAGAGGTCACACTCTGTTCTGCTGTTGGAGGTGGGGCCAGCAGGCAGTTCGGGGAGGCCATGAGCATCTCCACTGGAGAGCTCCTGGCTCCCACCAAAGGCCACAACTTGGCTCTTCCAGGACTGCATTCACTGCCACCAAGACCCACCTGAGGAGCTGGTGCCCCTGGGGCAGTGTCTGTAGCCAGGTCACACATTGGCCTTCGTGGCCATCCAGGGTGGCAACTGCTCTCCGTGTCTGCAGGCTCCAGATGTGCACCAGCCCACTCAGGGACCTGTTCAGACAAGCACAAGTGTGTGCTCAGGAGGCGGTGCTGCGGTGGGCGGGCAGGCCCAGCACACTCCTCGGGGCGGCCTGGACGCCACACAGTAGGCAGACCAAGCGTTTCGGCTGCTCGGGTTTCTAGTTTAGGTGACAGCTTTGAAGGTGAGCTAAGGGTACAGTGCCATGTGCTCCTCTTCCCAGGGGGCGGGGCGTGCTTCTCTGGAGAGGGAGGGCGGGCCGCTGCTGACAGTGCAAACTGGATGGCGTCTCTACTGGGAGGGGGCCAGGCCCGAGGGGACAGTGTGTCAACGGGCAGCCCGAGCCCACTAGGACCCCAAACGAGCACTGGGCTCACTGCTAGCCCAGCCCCCGACTTCACCCTGGGCCAGGCCCTGGGGTGGGGCTGGGGCCGCAGCTACTCACCCAGAGAGGAGCAGTGGGTGACCTTGCCCCTGGGCTCCTCCGCAGAAGTGTAGCGCGTGCACTGCTGACTGGGTGCCTCGGAGGACAAACTGGGGGTCTGGTGGCGGCGGGGCCGCCATGCGGGTGGGGGTGCAGTCACCTGGGGACCAAAAGAGAGGGCAAGTGAGTGGCCCAGCTCTCATCTTTCTGAAAGGCAGCAGGAGCCTCCCTGGACACCACCCCCCACCTTCAATCTTGCCTATTGACCTCTCCACCCAAGGGGCACCACTCTGCTCCCAACCCATGCCATCCCTGGGTGGGCACAGGAGCGCCCGCACTTGCCTGCACAGAGCCCTCCGCTGGCCTCTAATTCACCCCCAGCTGCACCCTCTGGCTCCCCGAGCCCCACTGGCCACAGTAGCACTGTCCCACGCTGCCTGGGGCAGGGTCCTCCTTGCCCGGGCTATGCACACCCTGGAGTCCGGGCCTGGCTGAGTCCTGCCCTCTGTCCAGGCCTTGTCCAGCTTCTCCCTCAGGGAGCTCTCCCTGACTAGCCCTCTTGGCAATTCCAGTCCCCCAGTCTTGAGCCCCATCTCCTCTCCTTCCTGCAGAGGATGTGCTGTTCACCTCTGCCTCACAGCAAGCTCGGGAGCAGGTCCCACACTGGCCTGCTCCCCCGAGCACCAGGCCTAGCACTGGACACCAGGCACACAGCACCTGCTCAGCAAGTATGGGCTGAAGAGATGAACCAGTGGACAGACGAGGTGTGCGGGGTCCTGAGGGTGCCCCAGGAGTGAGCAGGACTGGGAGACAGAGAAGACCCGCTTCCTTACATGGTCCCGGGCTGTGTACCCACAATTTCTAATCACTGTAGACCCCCTTTGAGGAGGCAGCACCCCTTTACTGATGGGGAAACCAAGGCAGGCAAAAGTCTCGTGAGATGTCCCAAGCCCCTAAGACTCAGGCCCGAAGAGCTCCCGAGCCCACCCCAAGCAGCTGAGTGGCCGGTGCAGCGATGTATGGCAAGAGGCAGGAACCGAGCCACCTCGCTGCTCCCGGAGGGCTGCTACAGCAGATGAGAGGCCCTTCCTCAAATCACTAATCCTGTGCTTAAGGCCTGCTGGAGCCCACCCACCCCAAAGGAGAGACCTCCCAGTGTCCCTGCTGGGCCTACCCCAATCACGCAGCCCTGCAGAGTCCCCACAAGGCCCCAGCCTCCTCTCACCACCTCAGCCCACAGGCAATCAGAGATGCGACACGCAGGGATGGCTGCGCTCAGCAGGCAGGGGAAGCCCCGGGCCAGAAGTGACCAACAGCAACAGGTGGGGGCACAGTGCTAGGGCTCTGGGCCAGCCCCTAACTCGCCCACCTCCAGCTGCACACCGAGCAGGAAGGAGGCCACCTGCCCACCTGCTGTGGCAGCAAAAGCACAGGGCAAAGAAGAGAGGAAAAATTCCTCCAGGAGGGAGCCTTGATCTGAGGACAACGCCAGGGGCTAGAAGGCGTTCCAGGCCTAGGACGGAGGACAGCGCAGGAGAGGGCTGCAGGCTGAGGCAGGCACATACAGGCAGGAGAGCTGTGCGCTTCTCAAGGAGACGGCCAGTCCAGGACACTGCTTCAGCTGTGCCCTCAAAGGCCAAGCCGTGTGCCTCCCCCGCTTAAAAACACCCCAGGCCCTTTCCTGCTCGTCTATCTTCAGAAGAGAGCCAGGAGCAGCTTGACTGCAGCGAAAGGTTCAAAACTCCTAAGAAATGCCACTGTTGAGGCAGCTGGGGACCTTGCAAGCTCCCAGGGGGCTCCAGGTCACCCAGAAAGCAGAGGGTGGGCAGCAACTGGAGCCTGGAGACCACAGGGGCCTGAGCAGGAGGACGGGGAAGACCAGGCTGCAGGGATGGGTGGGAGGCCGCTGCCAGCACCCAGGCCAACTGAGGCCCAGCCCACATGAGGGCAGTGGATGTAGTTTTGGATCCCAGATCCTAAGGACCCTGAGCAGACACTGCAGGACTGACTGTCTCTGACTCCAGGGTGGATGGTCACCCTGACTGGAGAGAGCACCCATAGGCGGCCACTCTAGCATGAGACCTGACCTCTGTCATGAGGTTTCAGAGACAAGGAGGGGTCCCTGGGTCAAGCTTTCAAAGGGCCAAGCCTTTGCTTCTTTCTCTCTCTTTTAGCGTTTTCAGCCTAACAGCCTCTCTCACCTTTGACAAAAAGCCAACTGACTCTTCGTAAACACAAGGATGGGCTCCTGCAGGGGTCACAGGGACCCTCCACACTGCTCCACAACCCATGGCTCTGCTTTGGCGGGGGACAGGAAGGCCACCTGGAGACACTGCCAGGCCAGGGCCATTAATCCTGCAGTGGCTATCACTGGGCAGGCTGGCTTGGCGGACGAGTTCAGAGGAGCAGCTGTTGGGCCCTCAGAAGGCACTGCCTACTTGTGCTGTGCCTGCCCTGTAAGACCAGTTGGTCGGCGATGGCACAGGGCTGCAGACCCCAGATTCAGAGAAACCCAAGAATGCAGACCCCGCAAAAGCACCTCAACCCAGCCAAAAAGTCCCAGTCCAGGATGGGGGGCACCCCAACTCTCAGTCCAGGCCACCTTCGCACAGGCTCCCACTGCGCAAGCCTGATGTGCACTGGTACACCGCACCCGCACACAGGGAACACACACACACACACACACACACGAGCTCACACACGCATGCGCACACACACAGACAGCACAGTGGCCTTGGGGAGTGCCAGCCAAAGCCCAGCCCACACTTGCCACCTGCCTGCGGCCTGATGGGAGTTTCCAGAACCTCAGCAGCACAAGGCTCGCTCTGAGGTGATGAAACCTAGTTCTCCTCTATTGTTTGCCCAGAACTGTAGGGAACAAACCCGTCACGTTGTTACAACAACCCAAATGCTCAGGCCAAGATGATGCATCAGCAATTAAGGGCTCCATCATTGCAAGCAATTAAAATAAACGCTTTATTTGAAAACTAATTAATTCTAGCTACATATTTTTCCCATGACAATATCCCATGATTACTTGATTTATGACATCTAATTATTCTTTATTAATCTAATTGAGAATAATCACATTATCCTATCTCCCATGGCACCGGGCCGCCCGGAGCAGAGGCCGCGGCCCCTTGCGCAAGGCCGATGCGCACTATCAGCCGCCCGGTGCTGGCTGCCCTGGCCTATCACTGGGCTTTTCCTCGCAGAGGGCAAAGAAACACGAAACTTAATCCACAGAGCACAACTTCGTATTCCGCCTGCATTTCGAGATGTCAAAGTGAGACACATTCTTTTCAAAATTAAAAAGAAAGACAATCTGGCACAATTTGCACAACTCTGACAGCCTTTCTAACTGGTGCTACAAATGCCCCGGAAAACTCACAGGCCCTCAGCTCACAGATGACAACAGTGTCCCCCTATGTCACATCTCAGCAGCAGCAGCCCGGCAGGCCTCAGGGCTATCCCCAGGAGAGCGGACCAGAGCCTTCCCCCAGGTGTGGGGAGCAGCGGGCAGCCAGGGCCCCAGGTAGCAAGGTGCACAGATGGCCGGGGACAGGCTTCACCAGCACTCACCCTCCCACCAAGGCACACACTCCTCAGGCAGGTGCAACAGCCACAGGAATCCGAGGATGCCCCTCTCTGGGAGGCAGGACCCTGTACGCAAAGGACCAGGTGTTGGCAAAGACCTGCCACAGCGCAGGGGGTCTGCAGCAGCACAGACGGAACCATGCAATTCAAGAGGCACAGGAGGCAGGGCCAGGGGAGGGGCTGGTACCTGAAGTCCAGAGGTCCCTACCCGAGGTTCTTGCGCTGCACATCCCACAGCCAGCCCCCCGCACCCGCCCTGCACTCAAGTCATGGAGTCATTTCCTTTCACTGCAACAGGAACACTGGGCCCTGAAGAGCTTGGAACTCAACAAAGAGCACCAGAAATGAGCCAGAGAAGGGACCACCACCCAGAGACGCCAGGCACTCCCCAGCCCAGTGGGTCCTGTCTCACTGTGCGTGTGAGAGGGCAAGGACGGGCCACGTGGGGTGCTGAGAGCACCTCGAGCAGGACCCCAGGCCCGTGAGTGCCAGGCAAGTGCAAGAACCAGCTCCCCCAGGCCCACAAGGCCCCTGAGCATCCATAACCAGCACAGAGAGGGAGGCACTGCCTTCCCGCTGAACGGACGCCCTGACTGGTCCTACCCCTCAAAATAGCTAAAAATGCTCATTAGAAATTACCAAAACCCTTACTACACGACTAAGTTGGCAAAAAAAGAGTCCGGAACTGTCAGAAGCCAAATACTAAGTAAAAGTCAAACCTCCTGAGGCCTGTGGAGCCCACGCTGGCTGTCGCCCTGAGGGCGCTGCTGCACCGGTAACCAGAGTTCCGGTTCTTAGGGCCTCTGCAGAGGACAGGTAAACCTCCCAAGGCGGGTGATCGCATGGGAGCATCCCCATAAAGCTGAGCCCCCACAGGGCTACATGCTCAGGGTCAGACTGAAGTGGAACTAAACCTGCACCTGGAGGCGCCAACATACCGCCAGCCCTCAGGTTTAGCCCGAATTCACACCTCCCTGGGGCTCCCCAAGCTTCAGTCTGTGAACGGCTCCTCAGAAGGAGCCCACCTTCAATGCAGGCCTCAATGAATTCACAGACAAAACCCTACCAAATGCAGGCTTGTAGCCAAAATGCATAAAAAGACAAACAAGGGAACAAGGCTCCAAGAGGGGAAGCCATCAGAAACAACAGGAAGCAGACCCAAGTAGGGGACGGCCATCTGCACACTGGGAGCCAGTTCTCATCAGACACCGGCTCTGCCGGCACCCGGATCTTGGACTTCCAGCCTCCAGAACTGCAAGAAGTAAATGTCTGTTGTTTGAAAAAAAAGAAAAAAAGAAACAACAGGAAGCAGAACTAGGCCCCCAGAGCAAAGCATCCCTGTATATAAAATAAGGATGCTTAATGGTTCTAAAGAAATAAACAGAGGGAGCTGAAGCTACATGTAGAAAGCAAGAGACTACAACAGTCGCCACTCAGATTTGGAAAAGGGCCCAACCGATGAAATGCTGGGGAAGAGGAGATTTGCACTGTGCCAAGGTACTACTCTACAGACTATGTGCTAATCACAAAAGGAAAAGGCACCTTTACAATGGAGACAGCTGG